ATTTCATTCATACCCATTAAAGCATTAAAGACCAGAAGTCTGAAACAGTAAGTGTGAATTTCTTAATTTACGAATAATAGAATATTGTCTTTCTAATCAGCAATGAAAAGGCTTTCAAATTTTAATATGCGCTAACAAAAATTTACAACTAAAATAATAGACTAAGTATCTTGAAGAAAACATTAAAAGTTAATTAACCCAATTAAAATCACAGTTAAATAAGAAAATAAAATATTATCTGCTAAAACTACTAAACAATCAAATACGAATATAGATAATCCGTTTATAATTGACTTTAACTCTATTATAATTGAAATTGATTAAGCGTCTTATAGTCACCAGAATTTACAGTTCAACCGTATATTCTTAACTATCAAAATATGAGGACCTCTCTTAATAAACTTGATAAAAAGTTGTTGGTAAAATCCTAATAATGAATTGAGGGAGAAGCCCACTGACGTCATGATAAACTTCGATTTACCGATGTAAGAGAGATATGTATGTTGAAATATAATTCAGCTTCGTTATAGCGATATCACGGTACTGTTATAATAAGCTGTAATATACCTTGGAATATTACGCATCAAAGATCGCCAATACAGTGAAGGCTTATTTTTAGCCATGGCACTTGGACTTTCATTGCTGTTCTTCTTGACATTTATATGTGCGACCTACATTGAAGCAAGCACATTATCAATGCTACTTTACTTTATTCTGTTTAGATAAATTGAATTACTTATTTTAAGGATATATAAGCTTATTTTATATAGAAATAATTGTTTATAATAAACAACGACTTTATAAACTACAGATAATTAAATGTAATTAACATAAAGACTTTTATCTTACAGATATATTTTAACGATATAGTTATTTTGTATTATCTAGTGTAAGGACAAACATTATTACAAAGTTCATTTTTTACTCTTATTTCAGAATTTGTTGTTCAAGTTGTCAAAAGTTTGAATTGAATGATGAAAAGTCTCTAAAAGGTGACATCAAAGATTTTTTATCATATTTTGTTCACGCATTACAGATATTGTGTTTCGTGTATAAAAAATATTCAGATAATTAAAAAAAATTCGATTCATTTATAAAACAATAACGTTCAAACAACCAAATTTTATCTTGTTTTAACATATTGTGAAAGTCTGTTTTTTATACATCAAGCATTAAATTGCAGACGCAGCTGAATATAGAAAATGTAAAGATTGACAAATATTTTTTGAAAAGTACAATTTGTGCTATTGCTATAAAAGACACTTGGATTGCTCCTGAAAATGGTGTACAACAAAGTAGCATTACAAGAATTTCCAATCTACATCCATATCATTGGTTGATTACCAAAAATAAAAGAAAAAATCAACCTAAGCAAAAAAATACGCCGATCGCTGTTGTCATTCACATATAAATTAATTATTCACTTATGTTCTAAAGTCAACAAACCATGTCTCCCTTATATCTGTTTTATTATGTAAATTAGCTATAATTTCAAATTGCAAACAATATTCGACATGTATAACTAACAACAATTTTCCATAAAAATGTTCAACATATCATTATCAATATTGGAAAATCTGTCTAAAATATTGGCCGATCAAAGTTTTTGTAGCTGATTCAACTTCAAGTACCATTAATTATAACAATAAACTATCGATTTAATTTAATTTACGAAAATATCAAGGTCTAACATTAATTGGAAACAAAAATTATAAAAAATATCCGTCTGACCTTTTAAAAGTCATATGCTTCAAAGAAGTATTGTACGAAAGTCAAATGATAAAATATATTGTGATATGATATGTATAACAGCATTGATGTCGCAACAAACTTTAGTCATTTTGGAAAATACAACTTGTAAAAACATGTTATAAATTAAATAATTATCTCATTTAGCCTCAATATGCTCGGAATAATTTCAGAATAAAGCTCATAAATATAGCACTCTCGAAATAATTACACAATACAATTCCCAAATATAATAAGTCGTGTCAATATCGAATTTCAATTTTTTTGTTTTCTGTATTTACATGCAATATTTGCTAAAAGAGGTAAGTTATTTATTTCAAGTGAATCCTTTCGTTATCAGATTAGATTGCATGAAATTTATCTCGTATTGAAAAAAAACTCATCGTACATTCGACTCCAACTCTAAAATAAAAGAAAAATAAAATTCCTTCAAGTGATAATCAGTAGTGTAGATTCATTCATGAAATTTCGTATTTTAGAACCTTTAATAATTCAAAGATGTGGAGTGGGAAGATCTTACTTTGATGGCTGCTAATTATTATTGCTTTGATGGACTTTTAGTCAAGTACGAGCTAGTTCCCGAAACGCATCCACTGTCCATGGAATTTTGAGACACTCATAGCTTTATGCCCTGAATTATATTTACGTGATCATATACAATACGTTAGTCATCGAGTAAGAGCTACTTTGCTGTTTTGCAATGGACATGTTTTCACTAGAATCCTCGAAATCATGAAATAAAAAGAAAACAAGCGAAGCTTTGTCAATACCATCGAAAATAAAAATGTAAAATAAATGCCCATCGGTGCTATCGAAACGAACAAGTCGCATCCGTTCCTCGCAATAACTCCACGACATTATAAACAAGCGTTCGCGCGATCTTCGAGTTCGTAAGCGCTTTCGATTTATTCGCGCGCCGTCAATAAAGCCGGCGAACAATTAATTAAGCAATTTATTAAGGACTTTCCAGCGCACACACGAGCGTACGCGAAAAAGTATAAGATCTTGGCGTGCGCGATTTATTCTTGGCACGATAAATCCGAGGCTGCGAACGGGCCGCTGAATTATTAATTGGATTCGGCCGGACAGGTGCATAATCGCGCCTAATAAAGTAAGTCGAAGGGTTCGCGCGCCTCAGCAAAAGCAGCTTGTCGTAAAGTCTTCTACGCGGCGAGAACGCCTATATGTGTGATGCGTTTGCACGCTGAAATTACTTATCGCGCTCGTGCTCGCCTGTGTGTGCGAAAACTCGAAGACGTAGCAGTGGTCGTAAGCATATATATGCGCATAATTTATTTTCTGAAGTAGAAGCGAAGAAGAAAAAAAAATCCGACACGACTGTAAGGCGCTATATAACTCGGCTAGTCGTTTCTTTTATTCTTTCCTTTTTTAGTCTGGTGAAATTCATCTTATCTCTGTCACTTGTTCAAACACGGTCGTATCAAGCGCTATATTGAGATGATTCTCTGGAATGACGAAAAGTTCGTTATTCGAAATTTTCGATAATCACTAGAAGACGATGCAATTAACCTTGCCGTATTTATGAAACTGAAGGTATACCGAAAAAAAATGAATCCGTAATAATCGTTCATTTTCGTAATATCTCCATTCTGTAAACGTCGACCCCCTGAGGCGAAAACTAAGTTAATTCGAAATCGTCTCGGTTATTCGACTACATCTCAATAACCCCTTATTAAAATGCAAAATCGTAAAGTCCAACGCTTGTACATCAGTGTAAGGATATTACAACGTCGATTCGTCGTTACTCAAGCTTTAATGAAACCAGGAGTGTCATCCAAAAAATACTAATATCTACAGGACTGCAGAGCAGCAACAGGTAGCAGCAACAGCATTTGCATTTGCAGCCTAATTGGAGGTAATAATGTTGTGCCCGAGTTCTTGTTCGCAGTGTTTTGCTACTCGTATACTTAGAAATCATGGCTTCTTCAAGATGATACACTCACTGACTTTATTAAGGCGATCCTTTAACGAGCACTGCGATCTCTCAAAGTTCTTAGTAATTGTAATGATTCAGCGACGTTTACGACTCGCCACTTAATTGATACAATTGCTATATAAACATATGCTTTAACAACTGAGTATTCAAGTTTATTGGTAATTGATAGAAATTAGTTGCATTACATTATAATTGCAGCATCGCATTCCGAAAGTCAATTATGAGACACGTGTTCCACGTGGGAAAATTGAGACGTAGATCACAGCATTGAATCTTACATCCGTGAGGAGAATTCGAATGCAAGCGGTCAATGAAGCAAAAGCCAGGTTGAATCGCACTGAACAAGTGCGATTCCTCAATTATGTGCGTTGGCAAAAAGCCAACGAGGAAGACGCGACGCGCGCCTATAAATTGCCACGCAGACTCTGCGGCTTTGCCAGCCAGAGCTGATCCCTTTCTGCCGTTGAGCCGCGCGAGCTTTCCTCTTATCGGGGATTTTCGCTACTGTCACTGCCGCAACGCACCAGTGGAAACTATGCTTCTTTTCCCAAAAGAAAGTGCCGAGTATTCAACGCGTACGGTTGATTAGAAATTCAGAATCTTTTACGGTCACGGAAGGAAGTTCTCGCGTTATTTTGTTCACGGGTTTCGATTGCGAACATATTAAGCGCCGCGCCTCCGCGACAGAGAGTACAAAGGTTCGAGTGGTCACGTATTAAGCGGTTGATTGATTCGCAAGTCTTCTCTCTCTCTCTCTACTCTCCGTAATTGCGCTTCTCACACGTCTCGAGAGGTTCAAAGGTCAATTATTTTATCGCAGGGCCGCACTTAATGGCCTGATAATCGAATGCGGCGCACGAGCATGAGTAGCGAAAATCGATTTGATACTTCGCGCGCGCGCGTGGACTACGTGCTAATATTGAACTTATTATCCGAGTCATAAGCACGGAGATATAAAGAGAAAAATGGATTTTTTTTACGTTTAAAGATTGATTGCCGATGTACGCACGAGAAGAAAATCAGGGTAACGTTGCGGACGACTGCACGCTTACACGAATGCGTCGAACCTCTTCGATATAGGATTTCCATGGCTTTCTTTCTGGCTTGCTGGTAGCGTATGCCGGTGAACGCAATTTCTTTTATCAGCTTCAATTAATTTTTTTCATTAATGAAATCGGGCTTGAGTCTGTGATATATATAAAAGTAAATTATAATAATTCGTCATTAATACTTTTTATTAAAAATATCAGTTGATATATAGCTTTTACAAATGTGAAAAAATGCAGTGCTGATTGTTAGATATTACTAAGCCAGTTGATACAGTATAGTGTAAAGGTAGGAAAACATAAATAATGTAATATAGCTCTTATGATTATTCGGGTTCAACAAAATTCAAATCGTCAACGTACATAAAGCCATAAAGCGTTTTACAGCTAAATGTTGTACATACCCCTTTTCTATCTTGACCACAGATGCATACATTGCAATTATTCGCGAAAATCATTCCAGGGTTGCAGTCTTCTACAATATCGTTCACTGAAACGAAGCAAAGGTTTGTTTCGTTTGAACTTTTGTCACAGAATATTTAAGTTTTTCATTCGAATTCAATATACCTCCCATAAAGTTGTATTTATGCGGACACGGTTTTCCACTGCACATCGCAAAATTTCCTTGACTATCACAAATACACTGATGACAGTTATAGTCAAATCTCTGGTTCGAGATACACTTCATTGTTATATCTACGAAATCAAACACCATTTAGAATTCTCTTAGAATGCTTGAATATTTAATAGAAGAAAACTTACTTAGAATGCTTTCATGATAAAACGACATAGGCTCACAGCCCATTTTCTCGCAGTTGAGTTTTAATCCATCCTTGGCGCAAAAGCAGTCATTGCATCCTACCATCAGGGTAGAGCCTGGCACACATTTTGTTGAATCATCTGTAATAGAAAAGAAAATTTTAATCATGGTATTATGATGTGAAAGGAGCATTGTATTCGATTTGAAAGAATATTAATTGATTTTTATACTGACTATCTTTCCATTCCTGCAAACCACAGCCCAATGTAGTACAAGCGGCTGTACCATTGGGGCCACATATGCATCCATTACAACGATCATTGAATACCGAGCCGGGAATACACTTATCTCGCGTTTCTACTAATTAGAATCATTTATAATAATTTCATACGTTATTGTCTTATAGACGTTAATCTTTGCAATACCTATCTTTTGAGTTTTTGAACATGCTTCATACACGCAAGACGCGAATTTTCCACTGGAGTGGCACACGCATTCCTTACATGACTTCTTAAAATATTTGCCTGGACTGCAATCGACTGTGATATCTAATGACAATTTCAATAAAAATCAATACTTTGACTCGTCGCAAATTCTAAATTACATTAACAATTACTTACTTTGTAATTGATTTCGATGTAACTGAGGAACTAACGTTGAAAACATTTTTCTCTTGCAAGTAATTTTTGTACCGAAAACGTTGCAAAAACACACATTGTGATCGTACATGAAAACTTTTCCAGGAACACATGACAGCATGAAGTTGACAAATAAAGTGGCGTTCGGTTGGTTTTGATTTTTCTTAAAAATACCTGTCACCCAATCCCATAATCCACGAAGTGATTCTTGTGAACTTACGAGGCAGGCTGTAAAAATCATTTTTTTCATCTCAAGCATTCTAATTCCAATTGTTATTTTCTTCCTATTTTATACTCACTTATAGTTGAAAGAAGAATCACGTATGAAATCAGGGAACACTTCATTGTGATGGAAAGATTGATGTCTTTGACGCCGAGATGCTGCAACGAAGAAGAGAAGAATCGCTAATTAGAAACTGATAATTCGTTTTCAGTAAAATATCAAATTAAATCTACGTAAACCTTTATTTAAACTTTTCTTTATAAAAGAACGATAAAAATTTCCATTTTTATTCATAAACCACTTGTATTTACTAGAAGTAAATCTTTTTTCTTAGAACTCGCCAGCTGTACTATCGAACAGTCTGACAAACGTCGAGTTTTAATTATGCTGGCGATACTATTCATATTGTCATGTGATTAATTGGTTTAGTTTACACTAAAATAACTATTGCAGTCGACATTTTTCCTTCAAATGTGCGAAATAGCTCGTGTAAAGATTTTCAAAATCGGTATAATCCGAATTTTATCCATAAAGAATGAATGCACTTGCATCAGTTGAATAAGCTGTTTGACAATTTCTTCACTTTTGTCTGTCAATGAACGATATGACCGTGGCATATGTTACTTGTACTTGGTGTAAATAGTTAAAGACTTTCGAGTACAATACGAAATTGAGTATACAAAAATAAAATTTTTACAGAAATGGATAACAATAAACATGGAATGGAAAAAATTTACATGAATTGAGAGATAGTATAAAAATCAATTAATACTCTTTTACATCGAATATAATGTTCCTTTCACATCGTAATACCTTGATTAAAATTTTCTTTTCTACTACAGATGATTCAATAAAATGTGTGCCAGGCTCTACCTTGATAGTAGTATACAATAATTTTATATACAAAAATAAAATTATTGTAGATTGTTTTATTTTCATTCATTGTAAATATTGAGACAAAGATGATATTAACATTACAGTAACAGCAGAGTACTTTGTAATAATTTAACATTCGTTTACACGTACTACTTTCAGAACCGAGAATATTCATTTAAATAAATAGCGAAATATTTTGCTTATCCCATACATATGTAAACCTGCGATACCCTCATGCATTAAGGGTTGCATACGTTACATGGTCGGTCTTACAGTTCTGACTAAACAGTTGCTTTGTACGAGTCTTTATTAATCTACATGTATTTAACAAATAAGCAATAAACTTTTATTTGCTTACATTATTTTCAACACAAATTATTGTCCATAAAACATTTAAAATCACAGGCTATTATTTGGAATTCCCGAGATTTTCTAAACTTAAATTTGTGTGATACCTTAAAAACTATGTCATCATGTGCCTCCGTGGCGCAATTGGCTAGCGCGTTCGGCTGTTAACCGAAAGGTTGGTGGTTCGAGCCCACCCGGGGGCGTTTATTTTTACTAATTTTATTTCTTGTACAACAAAAATCATGCGTTTTCATATATGTCCCGCAAATAACGTTGTTTGTTATTTTCCAAAGTCTTAATAATAACATTTCCGTGGTGTCTTTCTTGATATTGACTTATTAATAAACCATATAAGTGCAGAGAACTGTTACGATATTTTTATACCGATTTTGATAAGCGACGTCATGCAAATTCTTATAATTATTTAATATCTACAACTTTGTTATCAGTTTTTTTTCTATTCTACACAGTTTCGTTGAATACAAAACATAAGTACATCACTGCTAATGAATTAAATTAAGATTATCGATTTTATTCAATGAAAAAAATATATAATTAATAATTAATTTACGCAAGGTTGTGTCAATGTACTGTTAATTTTTGATCTGATTTATGAATTTATATACGCGATGATGTGTGAGTGCGACGACATTCTGATAATATTCTAGATCTTGAATTCAATTTTTATAGGAATTTGTCAATGCATGCAAAAACCCTTCAAACTGCAATTATCGTAAAAAATCACGATGGAAATAACAATACTGCACAGAATGTTTAAATATTCAAGTAATTCATTAGTTTTAAGTAAATGTTTGGTCAAATAAATTAATTTCAACAATTACAAAAGAAAAATTGTTTCTTTGTATTTGGTCCCTATTATACCGGTGGTGGTAAAACTTTCACCGCCTAAAATCGACGCAGCTAGCGACATCTCCCAAGCGGATTTTTAATTCGCATCTTTGATAATTATACTTCTAAATATTCTGTATAAGTCGGTAATAGAGTAATTAAATAATTGCTAATTAAACAGACATTCATTTGATCACATGCCTTCGCTTTGTCCATTCATTAGAGTAGCCATATTATTATCTTCAAGGAAAGTTCTTTCGATAAACGCCAGCACGGGCAATTAACAAATTGACACGTTTATTATCGTGAAACTAAAAACACAGGGAGCACGCACGCGTTATCTATTCAACAATTACATTATTTTGTTATTTTTTTAATCACGCGCCTCTAACGCACATACACTCACGCGCGGGCACAGGCGCACAAAGAACGGAAGCGCGCGATAATTGACATTCCAGCAAAACGCTCAATTTTTTTAATCAATAAAAGCGATTAAATAAAAATCGATACTATCCGAGTAATCTGAAAATAGGCCTGTGCTGCAATTTTATAACAAAAACGCATAGCTAATTGCGAGTGTCATTTTATTATATAAATATAAACCGTAAAAATACAGGCGCGTAGCCGTTTTCTTTTCTTATCGCATCAGCAGCGTTGGAAACGTGATATCTCTTGTCTCATACAACGTGTTAAAATAGTCTGATAAAAAGAAAAGAGAGTGAATTATTATCGGGCAAATTTGTTTTCTGCAACAAAAAAACTGCACAATTTATAGCGTTTCAGTGAATAATAATAATAATAATAATATTACAGTAAGGGGTCGGGTCGATTGGGGCGTCAGTGCGCTTGCGTTTGTGTATAACAGCAGCAGCGGCAGCAGCAGGCCGAAAGACGCTTTTGAGGTGTACTGTGCTGTGCGCGATCCGGCAGGCGTCTGCGCGCGCCAGTCAGAGGGCTATCCGCTTTTCCCGTCGTGTCATCGGCAGCGGTGTGGCCAGCAGCATCTCGTTGCGTGTTTAGTTGTGAATATATATATACGCACACTGGCGTCGTGCGTCGAAGAGTAAAAGAAACTTTGATTATCATTCAGTCTCTCTTGCGTGTGCGTATTGAAGGAGGGAGAGGTGGGGGCACTCCGATACGACGACACAAGCACCGTCTGCGCTTGGTATCTGGTGTTTTTTTTTCGTGCGAGGCATCATGGCGAATCAGGACATCGAGCCGATGTCACGTTTACTCAAGCTCGCCAAGAAATTCAACTGCTTTTACCTGTCAGGTATGTCATTGCTCTAGTTTACGTTGTTCCTTTATTCAAGACTTCGCTCTCGTCAGTCGTACAGTCGTTCACAAGCGCTGATGTTGACGAGAGTTTATCGATTTTTTCCTCTTTTTTTTTTCTTCTATACACTACTCGCCTTGAAGGGAGTTTCTGCTAAAGTATATGTAATGTCTTATGAGATCTCAATTTTTTTTGTTTTTTTTTTTTGTAGGTTATATAGCTATATTTACTTGAAAAGAGAGAATATGTAGCTGGCTACGAAATTATCGAGACTGTTTTTCCTGTTTAATACGTGCGCGCGAAGGGAGGGGTATGTGTAAACTTTATTGCCGCGCGTGACATGCATACTTATAAAGTTTTCGCTTTCATCGATTTTCTATTTTCGGAATGCACTTTCGCGTGCGAATGAATTATTGATCGATTTTTATAATAGTGTGTCTGAGTCGAGTGTGATTGATTATTACTTTCGTTACCGAATAAGTTTTGAATTTTCATTTCTTATCTACTGCTAATTTTTCACTGTCCGGTCAAAATCGAGGTATTTTCGTATTTAAAAGATCTTAATTAACGAAGTAATCAAAGATGATTTACGTTACTAAGTAAGTAAAAATAGTATAATTCAGCTTTGTCGTTACAAATGACTCAATGCCTGGCCGACATCCAAAAGGCGCACACACGCGCGCGCGCACATACACACAAACACTCTTGCAGTTATTCCGCATCTCGCGCAATATTTTTCACTTAAAATATCACATCCGCGTCCTTCGCGAGCTACTGCGAGTGCGATACTACAATATTCCTTTTTTTTCTTTCTTTACATTGCTTCTTTCGTTCAAGGTCTCCATGCAGGGGATTGTCGGGCATTTGTTGTCGATGGACAACAAATTGGACTTGTCAGACCGGATGTTATGAAGGAACTTCTGAATTACCCGCAGGTATAACAACTGTTTGCAAAGATACCCGTAAAATGTTAGTTATACAAATGATCTGTTCTCCGAAGGTATTTCAAGTTTATCCAGAGTATGTGCAACTGAATCCAGCTTTTCGCGACTACGCCGAAAGAAGCGCAAAAGTCGACGAGGTATTACGAGAATGGCGATGTGGTGGAAAATTTATTGCATTACGTGGTTGGAGGGAAGAATATTACGACGTACGAGCTCAATTCAACACGCCCCCGCTATTCAAAATGGATCGATCGGCCACATGTAAGTTTCCTATAATTGTATATTAGAAAATAAAATGAAATCTTTTTCACTAATTGCACATCATAATTGCAGCACTGTTTGGTATACGAAAATACGGAGTAGACATAAACGGCTATGTAATGGATCCAGTGAAAGGATTGTCAATTTGGCTACAAAAGCGAAGTCCCAACAAACAAACATGGCCTGGCTATTGGGATAATTGTGTTAGCGGAGGTTTGAGCGTGGGTTTCGGCATTAATGAAACAGCGATCAAGGAGGCACGCGAAGAGGCTGGTATTCCCAATCATTTGCTCACCAAGCTGAAGAGTGCAGGCTGTGTGTCATTGTTTTTCGAGAGTGAACGAGGACTTTTTCCAAATACTGAATTTGTGTTCGACTTAGAACTTCCCGTAGACTTTGTGCCTACAAACAAAGATGGAGAAGTGGAGACTTTTGAATTACTGCCTGTGAGTGAGTGTCTTGAAAGAGTACTTTCATCACACTTCAAAACTACGTCCGTTCCAGTGTCAATAGACTTTTTAATTAGACATGGGTACATCACTCCTGAAAACGGTAAATTTCGAAAAACAATTGTTGTACCTTCAAACGACGTATTTTCTTAATTTGTGCCATTTCTTTTTCAGAACCTAACTTTATCCAAATAATGGAATTATTACACGTTCCGCTGCAAACAATGTACAATCAACCGCACAGAAAGCACAAAATCGCAGCCAATGGAGAGACGAATGATACTTTAGAACGAATTTAAATCTTATACTTACTAGGTACTAATTGCAAATCGTACTAGGAATACATTTTTTACCAAAATAATGGAAATTTTGTTACTTTTCTAGTAAGATGTGCTTTATCAATGTTTATATAGCATTAAAAACCAACAATTTTCATAAATTCGTTTAATTTGATTGCTTGAATAGTCGATTCAAATTACTTTAACGATTACCTGGGTTAAAGAAACAATTATATACTTATTGCCATTCGAAAGTTTTTCATTTTATTACAATTATATTAGCTGAGTATTATAATTTCTACATCAACGAAAATTTTTAGACAGGCTAAAAAAGAATGGACTTTTGTGTGATATCGATGAATAAATAAAAGAAATATGAAATTTAAATAAGACACTCATCAATGATGTATAATCAAAAGCGTACTATGAAAATACGGAATAGCAAGTTTATACACTATTAAATGCATATTCTTTAAAAATAATATAAGTACATGATATTATGCGCTTTAAATTATTTCGAATCTTGATTCATATTGACAATGAGTATATTTAACTAGAGCCATAACTGCTTTCAAAGACAAAAAATCTGTTAGTAAACAATATTAATCAAGAAATCGAACAACGAAGTATTACTCCTGCGTCATTCCAAACAGAATTAGTGCAAAAAGTGTGTACGAAATGAAGTTATGATGCCTTATTGTTTATGGATTATTAAATGATTCTATGATTAATTTTAAAAGTTCTACAATTTTTAATCATTGTTTATAAAGTTTTTATAGTTTTTCAAAACATTTTTACGTACAATTACCAAGTCTATTTAAATTGTAGAAAACTTGTAGAATAGATGAGTTATAGATTTTACACATTTTGACGATAAAGCGTTGATTATATTATAACATCAAATATTATGGCCTTCGACGAGTAATTGTTGGATATGATTATAAAACAACGACTGAAAGATTATACTAGCCATGAGTATTTTATAATTTGGAAAGCGTATAAAAACTTGGTAAAGATTGAATAAAAATTTCAGATTTTCTCAAAAATACAAGTATTTACGATAAATTCTTGTATGCTGATTAATAATATAGGCACATTTGTTAATTAAATCAATTTAAAGTCCATTCACAGTATTAAGTAAATAAGATTGATGATTTAAAACAACATTTGTATTATGATATTTACTGCAAAAAAAGATGAATTATGACAAAAATTTCTAGTTACTTTTTAATTGAACTCTTACAAGAATATAGGTAAATAGTTAGTTGTATTTATTACATACTTTGTTAGATAGGATTATTTAAAATAATATCTAATATCAAATTGTGTACAATAATTACACACTTTTGCGAATTTCTTATTTTCACATTTGGTAATTTAAAAAAAAAATTTTGAGATTGATACAAGTCTTTTGTTGTTAAGATAAAATATCAAAATATTGCCATAAATAATTTTTAATATATATAACGAATGGTTGTCGTTACACTGTATATAATTTAATCGTAGAAATCTCTTCCAATTTTTTTTTAATTTAAATATTACAAAGTTTGATTATTTATTAAATTTTGGGCTGCCACATTAGAGATATTTGCGCTTTAGGGGTTGTTAAAAAAATACCAACTCATACCTAACGATTTCTTAACTATGTCACTGAGTCTTGAAATCTCAAAATCGTTGGTAAATATGCAATAAACTGACCAATTTTGATCTGTTTAATTGACTTGGCTCAATACATTTCAAATTATATTTGATGAAAAATTATAGTTAATACAACGAAAATTCGTAAAGACACACTGACAAAGAATATTAAGATAAATAGATTTCAAGTATGGCAGCTGTGGGTATATGATTTCAATTGACAATTGTAAAAAAATGCACGTTGGATCATGGCTTTTCGTTAAATTTACAATCGCTTGTTATTGTACTCGTATTTAGCAAAGCTGTAATTAATATCCATTCGTCAATTGTGATATAAAAAAAGACGCTTATAAACAAGCAGTTGATAATTCATTTTTATTTAAAAAAATTATTTAAAATACGTGCATGATATCTATTTAAAATTATATTTCTGAAAAATAAATATTCTTTCAAAAAATTTTCATGCAATAATTCGAGCAAAGTTAGCTTTATTATTTATCTTAGACAAACTCAAAATATATTAAAAAAATTAATTGAATATTTAAGGAACGGAATTTCTGATAAACTTTACAGATATAACTTTACAGATATAAGTTACAGAAATGGATCAACTATTTGTTTGATTTAGTGTAATAAACATGTAATTATTATTTATTGATTATGATCAAAGCAATCAAAACAAAATGTATTTGACAGAGTAACCATGTGATACCTATACTAATTATTAAAAATTTCTGTTAGACTGCTTGAACCAGTTGTCTTCCTTTGGGAGCATTGGACGTCACTTATTAATAAAATTTCGCCGTCGGATAGTATTAGCTGCAGAACAGATAGAAATAGTCGCAGCTATGTACTTAATTATATATAGAACTCTGTCAAATATGCCATGAGATGAAATATTGGCCTGGAAAACAATTCTTCGAAAACAGATTTTTTTTGTACTTACTACAATTTTATTATTGAATTGAATTCAATAAATTTTGATTATATTTAATATTTAGATGATTACATTACTTAAAATGCAATCAAAATTTTCGCAAAACATATTTGTTCATTACATACTGAATAATATAATTTATACAAGACTTGTTAGTATTTTTATATTTCAAAGTTTTCTAACGTGATTTATGTGAAATTCATTCATATATTATTTCATTTATTTAAAAAATAAAGTATATTTCCATAATCGATTCCGTATCAGGATTTTTCTTTCAATCATTCTTATCAAAATGAAAAGAATAAAATAATAATTTACAAAATGATCATTTTTGACACTCCGTGTGCAAAGTGCGTCTTTCCCGCACGCTCGACAGAAAACGTGCGTTGAATATCGCACTTTCCACACGTCGTATAAAAAAATACGATACGGCACATGTTTGGGAAAGAGGGAAATCTCGCTTCGCTCGGGCGTAAACGCCACACGAGACAAGAATCTACTTTCCCATACTTGTATCGTAATGTACTATTCCGTAAAAGCAATTTGGTTGTGCAAACTAACCTTTATACGTTTTAAATTACCAGCCTTTTATGGAAAGGTGGTTGAAATTATTTCAGATAAACCCATATATATATAATGCACCCCTCCTGAAATTCCAGATGGGCGAAAAAACCCAATGAGAAATTGTAAATCAATCTGGAAGAACTATAAAAAAACGGTGCGTGATTGGCACGGATAGTAAAACTTATTAATAAATCCGTGTAATTTATTTTTTGTTAACAAAAAAGTTCTAAAAGTTAAACGCTCCTCGATCAATCGAAATTTAATCTGTATAGCGTTTTAATATAGTTTTCATAGCAATGAATCTGTTAATAAAGTCATGCACAATTTTTCTATCCAATCATAATATCATTATAACCATTCATTATAAAGAAATAAATATTATTTCTCATTACAGCGGTACATGTACCTCATAGATCATTAGGTAACATAGACTCAAAAAGTACTGCGCTCTGAAAAGGATTCATTTCTATAAAAACTGTATTAAAACGCACCGCAGATTCAATTTCTGCTGATCTGAGAGTGTTCAACTTTTCGAATTTTTAAAATTTTTTATTGACTAAATTGCGCGAAATTATTAATGAGTTTAGTTATCTTTACCAATCACACATAGTTTTTCTACAATTTTTGCGGGTCGATTCTTATCGATTTTCCACTGAGTTCCTTCACTTATTTCATCAGGGATTGGGTTGAAATTTCACTATGCGCTGCGTGGAAGTTCTTTGCTTTACTTGATTGTAGATGGCAGTGTATCTCTATGTGAATCTGAGACTCCGATATGTTAAGTGCGCGGAAGCTCTATAGCTGATTCTCCAATAGACACGAAAATCGTACGCGACAAGAATTTCTAGTGGATTTTCTGCTACTGCCAACTTGAAATGACAAATGCTTAACATAATATCTAAATGACTAGACAAACTTAAATAAAACTAGTATATTGTAGTAAAAGAGTAAAAAATATTCAAAGTTTATTAGCCAATAGTTACCACGAAAATATTTCTCAGATTAATTATGAAAAATATAATATTATGAGAAAAGTTTGTAAGTTGGGGTAATTTCGTTATCATATTTGAGGTTATATTGCATAAATTTACAAAGTTGGATTATTTTTAATTCTTAAGTTGGCAACAATTTGTTGAGTACGAATTTCGTATCTATTGGAGATTAGTCTATTTAATGCCCAAAACCTCTGGGGGCCTATTCTGAAAAAAAATGTTAGCACGGGGCCTATTCTGAAAAAAAATTTTAGCACATGTCATAAGCATTTATCACATCTAAAGTGATTAATTCTGTGGTAAACTGAAGTGACAAACTGATTTACCACAAAATTTTTTTTCAGAATAGGCCCCCTGTGTCGTGTTGATTTTGCGCTCTTGAACGCTGCGCAATATATTGTGCGAAGATCTGTCCGTATCAAGGAGAATGTAATGTCGATATTTTCAATGGAGTAACTAATCAATGTTAATTATAGTTTTGTGACGGACACGATAGACACACAATGTGTTAAGGCCTTAGGCCCTTCCCTTAAATGTAACCTTTTCATTCTTTGCAGAGCACTGCGCAGTAACGCTGACTACGTAAGAAAAGCAGGGGAACCCCAGAATGAGAAAATTATTGCACATAGTATTTGAAAATTAAATTATATACACATACAGTGGAAGAAATTCAAATAACCTCATACTATGCAGTTTTTGTGTTTTAAATATAGTTGTGTGTATAAATTAGTTAGTTTCCACTCTAAAAAAATTTTATTTTTCATTTTTTACCAGATTTTTTTCTATAAACTTTTTTCAATTAAAATAGTCAAGTTACTGATGAAAAGAACATTACTATTTAATCATATTTAGGAGATTTGCTCCAAACAATTCATAACCAAGCAAATTGTTATCACAATTTTTTAATGTATAAGAATTATATTAAAATATTTTTTTTTTCATAACGGCCGTGTCTCTATGTAGAAAGCCTCTGAAACTCTTGCCCTATCAACTTTCAATAAATTTGTTGAGAAGTATGACTTTGCAAATCTCTAATAAAACAAGATAATTGTTTGGTTAAAATCTTTACTGATAAATTTATTCACTAATGAGAAAATATTTATAAAAAAGGACTTTAATTTGATAGAGCTGGACGATTGATTCTTTTGGTAAATTAAAAATTACATCTTCGTTTTCAACAAGCAATTGACAATACTTCAAAAATTTAGAAGCTAATAATTAAAAAAACCTAATTGATTCATTTGCACACATTGAAATATAAATCAAAATTATGTTAGTGCCATCCATATAAAACTAAACTTAAGCATTTTAGTGTTCCCCGAAGTTAATTTGTTAAAAAAGTTTGATTCAAATAATCAAAGGATAAGTAACTTTATTTGTTGTCTCATTTAATGTAATAGTCGACACTTTAATGACGTAACTCTGTATATTGAAATATTTGGTACGTATAAATTACATGCAAAGTATAAAGTTATATCTGAAAACAAGAATCTAGAGATCCGATCGTAATATAAAACGTAGACGTAAGGATAAAATGCACGACCATTCTCCACTTTTGTGGATAAAATTGTTTCACTTTTGGTGTTATTTTAATATTTTCTTTTTTCTTAAATCACCGTTTAGTCCTTCTACCTTTCTACTATCTTCGCCTCCGTCCCTTAACGCTACTCAGACATTAACTTGGCATAATTAAATTTTATAAGTATGGAACATGAAATTTATTCCAGCCGGAAATCAGATTATATCTTATACAGATCAGAATATATCTTATAAATAATCCTACACATACGATTAATAAGATTGGTGATTTAGGCAAAACGATATCAGAACGATATGATTCAGACGCAATTTATACGTATAATAGACCACTGGAATGAAACGATCAGAAATAATGGTGATTGGCTATATAAAGGATTATGAAGTAGTACCAGTAAATCAGGAAAACATTTACTTAGAAAAGTTTATAATAAATATTGGCAAATTACTTTACAATTCAAGAAATACATATATGACATTATCTGGAATGGACGAAATCAAAGGGACTTTCATTCAAAATAGATATAGCTTAAAATTTCAAACTCAGTGCGTATTTTACGCAATATTGCCAAACATTTACACAGCAACCGTGTGCAAGTAAAAATAAAACAACTGTAAAAAACTGTTATATAAAAAGTTAATTGAAAAACTGTTATAAAAATTGAAGCCAAAACGTTCTTTGAAGAATATCAGCACCAGTTACAGTCAAAAGATGGTGTTAAAATTGATAATTTTAATTCACGGTCATAAATGGTAAGTCATATGCGAAGATTTTCTAAAATTAATAACATATTTTATTAAAATACTGATTAAGCGTTATTCGGTCTAACGGTCTACACGTTTACTTGATAAACGTCTAAAATTTACTCGATATATATCCGGCACGTTATTTTTTATTTAAATAAGTTTTAATAATATATGTAAGCACACAAATAATAAATTCAATACTAATCTAACGAATCTTTTGGTAACATAAATAAAACTTGTTTCATTGGCATATAAATATCAAATCTATTTGTATGTTACTGTATTAATAGAAGAGAAGCAGTAGATAACCTGCAATGTGGTATCACTAAACGACATTCAAATTTATCGTTACATATATATTAAATCAAATTATGAATACAATCATTATATATCTAATTTATTTTCATACTAATATAGAAACATAAAACAATCTTCATTTGATTCAAATTGAAACATTTTCATACTGTACAATCAACACATCTACATAATTATCATTTCCAAAGCGTCATTCGGCATTTCGGCATGGTCTATCTGTTTTCAGTTTTGTTTACATTTGCTAAATACCGCTCATCACATGAGCAACATAAGTAAGGTTTATTTCTGTCAAAGTAATTTTGTTTGGTATCATTGTCATGAGTTGCTAATACTTAATTGTTTTTTAATATTGAAAAACAAAAAATCGTTTGAGAAAATGTTTAGAGTGTAGATCGATTTACACGCGTAATATCGGTAGATTGTATTTTACATCTTTGAAATACGAAATATTATATAATTAAAAACAATAAAATTCTGTGTGAAACAGTTATATTTAATCAAGATATTCATCAGCAAAATGACTGATATAACTCAAAATACATCTAAATTCTCATTTCGCACATTTGATATATATAGAAGATTCATAGAAGTTTTACAACATAAGCCAACTTATCTAGAAGAGTTTAAAATAGGTTCTCCAACAGAAGAAACATGTCTTGCTGTTATAAAAAAAGTTTTTCAGTCTCAACAAGAAAAGGAAGAGATTAAAGAATACACTCAATATTTTGCTATTCATGCAAAAATGATGGCTGGCCATGCAGAAAAGCTTCCAGATAATTGGAATGATGCTATTAACTATACTGACAGGTATATCAAAGAGATACGCAAATACCTTAGAAGAAAAGGATTGAGTGTTAAATCTGACTTGAATAAAGTCAAAAAAATTGCTAACGATATAGCTAAATACATACACAATAAGCCAACTTTTAAACAAATAGAAGCAATTACGTATTACTTGAAGTATGATTTGCGTAATCCTAAAAGAAATCTTGTAAGTATTTAAATATTTAATAAAAAAAGCTACTTTTCTGTATATAATGAATTTGTTTTTAAAATTTTATACTTTCACAAGATTTCTTTACATGCACCAAAAATATCTAAAAGCAAGTCTGACAGTATTAGTAAAAACATCGTAAAATCAAAAATTATAAATAATAAAGTAGTTGAAGAGGAAAAAGCTACTTTTGTTCAAGAAAAAAATGATCAATCATCATCAGCACATGAATCTATGCAAAAAGCTCCACATTTTTTGCAAATAAACAACCAAGTAGATTACAATAATTATGAAGTAATGAAACCATCATTACAACTTGAAAATATAGAAACTGAAATTATAGAGAATTTGTTTGAAATGATTGATCCAAGTATATCAAATCATAAAATAGATAATAAGAATGATTTGGATATCTTCAATTATGAAAGGAATGTAATGTCACCTGAATTAAGTCCATTTAATAATATAATATCGTATGGTAAATATTATCAATATTCAAATCATTAAAAACAGTCATATTTCAAAGTTGATCCACTTAATTACATATTTAAATTTCATGAATATTATAATATAAATTGATTGAAAATATTCTAGTCCCTATTAGTAATTTTTATAAATTAAAATTTATTTCTAATTATTTCTAGTATTATAATACCATAAAGATCTTTCCTTTGAATTTTTCATTTAAGATTAATTATATCTCATTACTTTTATTTAGTTTTCAATTATAAATTTTTTGTATAATTTCAATAGGGATGGGGATAGAAAATAATTTTAAAGCAGAAAAAGATGAAATATCTGGAGGGGTTAGCCAAACTTTCAGAACAAATATAGTAAATTGTTCATCAACCAACTTTAATACAGTAAATAAAGACAGAAGCTCAAATTACAATTTCCATTTGAAGAGAAAATACTGTAGTCCATTCAAGAGTGATCATTACTATGGTTTGAAGAAACAATTACAGTTATGTAAAATTCCTAATAATTTTCCTCAGGTATTTAAATATTTAATATTTGTTTGATTTTTAAATTATATATGAATTAATTTGTACTTTATATTTAAAAACGTCATAATATTTCAGAAAGCAATCATAACTCCAAGTCAAGCAGTAAAAAATAATAATGATAACTCTTCTGATTCTGAAATAAATATAGAAAATGATAATAAAGACAAAGAACCAAGCAAGTTTTTCATGATGAATCAATATGAAAAATTAGATGATAGTGAAGGGAAAACAGTATTTGATTCAGAAATCAGTGAACAAATACGAAATATTTTTGGTTTTAAATCAAAAGTAAGAGATATGAGTTATACTGATGCACTGAAACATATAGATTTAGTTACAACTTTTTGTAAATTAAAAAGTACAATTTCTCAACAAGAACTTCTTATAATGCATCAAATTAGAGATAAAATGTATTTCAAAAGTTTAAATGAATGAAATACAATGAAATAAAATATTTATCATTACTTATTTATAAAATTATATTTTTTGATAAAAAAGTATCTGATATTTCTTTGAAAGTTACCTGCAAACAAAATTTATCGAATAAACAGTTATCTGCTTTTTCAAAATATTGAATTTTAATTTTTATTATTCAATACATTTTTTAAATATTAAATTGCCATGCTAATTTAATTGAAGATGTAAGAATATAATCCTTTTATTTTATATTTTCATAAAAAACTTTTATTAATTAAGTCTCATGGATTATCTTTGTACAGTATGATAAAGTTAAGGAAAACGCATTCACATAATTTTCTTTATATAACTAATTCGAGTCTCAATGTTCCAGCGAACCTTAACAGTCTATTTTAAAATAATAAAACATAATATAAGCTTTGCACATGTTATAATTTCGGATATGTCATAAAAATCACTGTCGGCTCAATCAATATTGAATCATGTAAAAGTGCAATAACTTAAAATAAATATTTTAGTATAAGATTAAGTGTCATCTACTAACCGGGCATGACGTTAACTTACAAGTTGTATGTTTAGCAAAAAGGACTGACTATATAATACGAACCGTAAAAAGGAGGTGATCGAATCGTAAAATGATATTGCCACCATAAAATTAAATTTAGCGCATTAACTCATAGTCTACACGCTTAAAATTCTGTTCAGTCAATGAACCCCATAAATATAAAAAAAAAGTTCAATTTTCCGATGAAAAAGTTATTAAAATGTAATGCACTTGTAAATTAAACTATTAATTATGATACTTTCAAGCACTGCACATCATGCAAGCGTCACCATTTTCTCGTGAACAGACGAGCACTGGATCTTCGTCTTCTTCAACTGTGCCATTCGTACCATTCGTCTCCGGTTTTACTCCGTTTGCAACGGTATTTGCATTTTTGAGCTTGGACTTGTCGACCGTGAACTGCAGGGCATTTGCCGCCGGTTTCGTTCTCAAGTAGTACATTCCAGTTTTCAGTCCCTGAATAGCATTTTATTGTATTGCAAAATAGGAAAAAATTTTCTAATGTTGTAAATTTTCTTAATAAAAAAAACAAGAAAGTTATACTTACAGCTTTCCAACCGTAGAAATGCATAGATGTGAGTTTTTCAGTAGTTGGTTTGGCCATATGAACATTCAAAGATTGAGATTGGTCGATAAAGGCACCGCGATCTGCAGCCATTTTCAAAATTGTCTTTTGAGAAATCTCCCAAACTGTCTTATACAATTGCTTCAAATCATCTGGCACACGGTTTATGGCCTAAAATGTAAAATCGAGTATATCAATGAACTTATCTTGAAACATTACGGTTATTTTAATAATAATCACTTGAACAGATCCATTATTGGCGATCATTTCATTTTTCATATCCTCATCCCACAAGCCTCTCTCAGTCAGATCCTTCAGCAAGTGTGGGTTGACGATTTGGAATTCCCCAGAAAGTACGCGCCTTGAATAGATGTTACTGGTGTATGGTTCAATGGACTCATTATTGCCAAGTATCTGAGCAGTTGATGCAGTCGGCATTGGCGCAAGTAGAAGCGAATTACGAACTCCATGCTGTGCAATTTTATCTTTCAGTGCTGCCCAGTTCCACAGATTCGTCGGAGTAACATTCCACATGTCATATTGCAAAATCTGAAAATAAATTTAAAAAGTTATTAATTTTATTTAATTGAATTAAATTAATTTTGGCAAAGTTTAGCTGATAAATCAATACGTACGCCTTTGCTAATTGGAGACCCTTCGTAGCTGGAATATTTTCCTTTCTCCTGAGCCAATTCACAACTAGCCTCTAAAGCACCATAATAGAGGGTTTCAAAAATTTGAATATTAAGCTTTTGAGCTTCTTCACTCTCGAATGGATGACGCATTAACAAAAATGCATCTGCCAATCCTTGAATTCCAATACCTGGACAGTATATAACAATATATAACAAATATATTTTGTTGTTTTTTATTTTATCTAATATATTTAGAATATTTTCAATCAGAACAATGTAATGGTAACCCACCAATAGGTCTATGTCTCATATTTGAATTTTCAGCTTCTTTGATTGGATAATAGTTGAGGTCAATAATCTTATCCAAGTTCTTCGTTGTAATCTTCACAATTTCTTTAAGCTTGATAAAGTCGTAAGTTCTCTTGTTAGTGTTTACAAACATGTTGACAGCAATAGAAGCCAAGTTGCATACAGCTACTTCATCAGGTGAAGAGTATTGCACAACTTCAGTACATAAGTTGCTACTTCTAATAGTACCAAGATTTTGCTGATTAGACTTGCGGTTGCAGTGATCTTTGTACAACATGTAAGGAGTTCCAGTTTCAACTTGGGACATTAGAATAGCAGTCCACAGCTCTCTAGCGTTAATTTCTCGTTTGTAACGTTTTTCTTCCACATATTTTTCATATAACTTCTCAAACTCTTGTCCCCAAACATTAGGCAATCCAGGACATTCATGTGGACACATCAAATACCATTTTCCATCTTCCAACACTCTTTGCATAAACAGATCAGGAATCCATAGAGCATAGAAAAGATCTCTAGCTCTGTTCTCCTCTTTCCCTGCAGAACAGTTCATAAAAATTAATAATCTTAATAAAATTAAACGAGATTTTCAAAACACAGGTAATCTCTTGTTATACCTGTATTCTTTTTCAGATCCAAGAACTCAAAAACATCTGCATGCCAAGGTTCTAAGTATATTGCAAAGGCTCCTGGTCTTTTGTTGCCACCCTGATCAACGTAACGTGCGGTATTGTTAAATACTCTGATCATAGGAACTAAACCATTTGATACACCATTTGTACCAGCGATTGGAGTGCCTTTAGCTCTGATAGTGTGGACACTGAGTCCAATTCCACCAGCAGATTTACTGATCAGAGCACACCTCTTCAATGTGTCATAGATGCCTTCGATACTATCTTCAGTCATGGTAAGGAGGAAACAGCTATTATAAAAATGCGTATTTACCATAAATATTAAATGAGTAAGAATTCATGAATTCGTAAATTTCAGATTTATAATTAACTTAAGAGTAAATGAAAATTATTCAAAGAAAGAAAAAGTATAATAAAAATAAATTTTAGTAAATTATATTTGCAGAATTACTGACCTTGACATTTGTTGTCTGAGAGTGCATGCAGAAAACAGCGTAGGGGATGCGTGAGTAAAATATCGTTCAGACATATAATTGTAAGTTTCAATGACCTTGTCAATATCCTCTTTGTGAATAGCAACAGCAACTCTCATTAGCATATGTTGAGGACGCTCAACTACTTTGCCATTAATCTTCAGTAAATAACTTCTTTCCAGTGTCTTAAATCCAAAATAGTTGTATCCAAAATCTCTGTCATAAATAATGGCTGAATTTAATTTATCCTTATGTTCTTGAATGATTTCATTATAGCATGTGCTAATCATTGGTTTATGTTCTTTGGAAAAGGGATCAACTATGTTGTACAAATCATTCATGACATCTAAAACAAAAATTTTTATATTAGCAAATCCTTACATCAGCTGATTGCATGAAAACTTAAGCAAAAATAATACGAGGCATACCACTAAATACTTTCTTTGTTTCCTTATGGAGATTGGATACTGCTATTCTAGCTGCTAAAATGGCATAATCAGCATGTTTTGTTGTCATTGTTGCAGCAGTTTCAGCTGCCAGATTATCAAGTTCAACTGTTGTGACTCCTGGGTACAATCCACTGATGACACGGAATGTAATCGATGTCTAAGATGCAATAACATTAATTTGAGACAACTCAAAACAAATGTGAATTTTTCACGATAACCCAAAATTTCAAGTAATTAAATAGAATAAAATATTGTAAATTTATATATAAAAATAAGCTTATAATATTTGAAAATTACATAATTCTATAAATTTATTTTATTTTATTGTACAACAATACTACAGCATTATTAAAAACTGTTGAGAATAATATTTATAAATTATAAGGGAATATTTAGAATAAAAATACTCACAGGATCAACATAATCCATATCCAAATTGTAACACAACTTTTGTATCCTTGAAGTGATTTTGTCAAAGTGAACCTCCTCCTTGCGCCCATCTGTAAAAACAAACATTTTATAAAGGTTGACATTTACAAACCGCTGTAAATGCATATGCATATGCATATGCATATATATATACACACACCTCAGCACATTTATTTTGTACAACATTGTCAATCATTCAGACTCAATTAAAATCAATAAAAAAAGACTAATAAAATTAATTAAAGTAAATAATATAAATATTAGTCAGAACAATACGTTCTTAAGTGAAAAAATACACGCAACAAAGACTAACCTTTTAAGTTTGATACGGCATATAACTCACAAAAAATAATAAATTTAATACTTACTGCGTTTCAGGACATACATCTTCCCTTTGGCAACCATTTTCTTAAGCTGTATAAATATAAGTAAATTAACAACTAAAAAATACTGAAAAGCTATTTTTTAGAAAACCGTAAAGGACCGACACGGCTAAAACCTTGCAACCGTCTGAGATTTCGCGGGAAAGGGAAATGTGTTTTCGCGCTCAAACCAGTCAACTTCTTGGTGATTGGTCGGATTATCAAACGGAATGCGCTCCTCTGTTGTTGTTGTTGGATCGAAGGATATGACGTCAATAACGTTTTTATTCAAAACTCTTGATTTAACATTATTGATTATTATTTTTTTTTTAGTTTTCATTTTTCAATTGATACAACTACTTGTTACTTATATGCATATAAATTTTGATGATACTGACAATTAAAACGAATATTTTATTTTAGAGTATCCTTCGGGTTAGTGTAAATTTATAATTGTGATTCGAAAATTGTACATTAACACTATTTTATATCAAATATAAATATTTAATTTTATTTATTTGTCATTTTTTATATAAGAAATAAACTAAGGAATAACTAAAATAACTAATCATTGCTATGCATCAGGTAATACATTTTTGAATTTAGCAAAGCTCAATTTAGGCTTGAGTTCATATCTTCAAATTAGTGCTTTTTTTTACCGAAATATTTTGTGACCTTACAATACGGTATATGATGGTCAATAATGTTAAAGAGCGAATTTTTATAGGTTAGGAAAGATTCAACAATCAACATCTGCTGTCAAAATAGTAATGTTAGTTGTATATACATAATATATGTACACACGGCACGGTATAGCATCGTCGATGTCACTATTCATTATTGAATAGAAAATAAACAAGCGGTTTCCGCCATAATTTTCAATGAGATTTTATTAGTTGACTATTGAAGTATTTAAATCTAGTTGAAGTAAGTCTGTTACATGTAATTGAACTGATTCAAACCTGGCATAGAGCTACATTAGTTGAATCTCGATTATTATGTATTAATATAGACAAGTATTTATTATAAGTAATTATTTTATTTTATTTTAGTTTAGTTAATCATGGAAAAAGAAATAAAGGAAACAAAAGATGCAGCAGAAATTATGGATATTAGTGGTGAAAATACAGCTACAACTATACTTACCACAGTTACAACTAATATAACAAATGCTCCTGCCACAACAACTATTACGATAACAAATGCTTCACCACCAGCAATAATCCCAACAGAAGATAGTCAAGAAGTTAGAAAAGAGTTAATTGCAGCTCCTCCAGTACCAATTGTTCGTGTACCAGTCAAACATTCAAATTTAGGAATAAGAAGCCATGCAATGTGAGTTGAACAGTTATAAAGATTTGCTTTTAATTATTGAATGAATGACTAAGTTAATTAATTTTCAGGGACATGAGTACTATGGTTGAACTGACAGCATTCAGTACATTAGGCAAGATTGAACCTTTTTTAGTTACACTTTCAGCTAATGCAGCCCTTGTAGTTGATCTACATTGCCATCTCAGCGACAAAGAAGTTTGTGGATATCTAGGAGGGCATTGGGATATCAATGGTCATAGTGAGTATTATTTATAAGAATATTTATGTAATCTTTTTATATATTTTCAACTAACCAAATGGCAGCATAATCATTCAACTCTTCTGATTGAGAAGAGTTTTTTTAGAAAAGTAGCTTACTAATATTTGATACTTTTTATAGATTTATCTATTCTGGGTGCTTATCCTTGTCGATATACTGGAAAAGATAAAGTTGCAGCTGCAGCAGTAGAAGCAGAAATATCTCGTGCCATGGAGTGGAAAAGAATGATTCTTGTAGGCTGGTATCATTCTCATCCACGATCTCATGCTTCACCAACTCTAAGAGATGTTGATGCACAGTTAGACTATCAAATTAAAATGAAAGGACCTAGTGATACTGGTTATACACCTTGTGTTGGTCTTATTTGTTGTAAGTTTTCTAGTATTTATTTTATTGTCTGTACAGTTAAAAAAATGATTGTAACATTTTTGGTTAACATATTGTATTTTTAGCTCCATACAACACAGATGCTAATTGTTATGAATCAAATTTTAATATTTTCTGGTCAATGCCTCCACCAGAAAACAGACCACATGAATATCCTAGACCAATGCTTCTTAGTTATACTCTGACACAGGAACAATATGTATGTCAAGATGCATTGGAAGAAATTGTAAGTATAAAACTATTAAATATAAAAATCTTGTAGTCGACAGCTATATTTAATTATCCTTTGTTTTCCTTTTCTAGAAAAAATGTATAGAATTTTATAGGAATGAAGGTGGTATCGATTTTACAACTACGTTTAATGGTAATACAACGTATTTGGAAAGACTGAAGGTATGTTTATTTATTGTAATTATTAAAATCTTGTCTGTTACAAAACGATTTCTAATCATAAATATTTTTTTCAGAATTCACTGTCATCAAAGCTGCCGGGCCGATGTAAAACAGGTAGTTCATACTGGGAGATAATAAAGGAAATGGTTGCGCCAGGATTTGATGACGGCACCGAGTCTCCCTTCGCTAACATAAAATTCCCTCTGCTAAACGATCCACTTTTGCAAGCTTCATCGAACGTATTTCTCTCGCCATTGAGCTATAAACCCGAAAATTCCATTGCGGCCGTTCAGAAGGCCTACATGATGCAGCAACAGCATCTGGAGAATTTAGCAGCCGAGAGTAATCACATCAAAGATTCGAAACTGTCGTCACACATAATAAATACATCCGACGGTGTACCCACATTTCGTGCTGGTGAATTGACTGTTTCGTTGAAGAGTTCTAAGGACTACGATTACAGTCCTACAGATTTTACGAAAATAGAGTCAATGAAAGGTCGCACTGAGTATCCTATAACCGACTTGACACAAGCAATGAAGTTTTCAGATTTTTCGAAATTAGCAAACTTTTCACCGTCCGAATTGGCAAAAATCACAGGATTTTCACTGAACGATTTTACTAAAGCTGCTTCCTCATCGGCTTACGTTAGAAACATTGCCAATCTGTTTGGTCCTCTTGGAAAGGGTTTATCTGACTTTTCAGACAGCAATGACAGGAGATCTAGTGATTTTTCAGATCTTACAGCTCCATTCAAACCTCCAACAACTTCGTCACCGTCTCCCAAGGAACCAACTCGCCAAAGTCAAATCGATGATTATTCGTTATCTAGCGATAAGAAAAAGTCGATGGAACCTATGGATATATCCTCTAGTTATACCGAGGATTTATCAATGTCTAGCAGTATGCTCGATATGAGTAAGAAGCAGCATGACTCTGTGGAGTCTTTGAATTTAACGAAGAATCGGCAATAGCAGAGCTAAGTAAGTGCTAAAGTCCGACTCTATCGACCCTTCGATTTGTAAAGCAACGAATGAAAAGCATGACCCGGTACAACGAATTGTGTTTTAAGAATCGAAGCGCCGATCATTTCAGAATCGGACAGCACTTCATACAATCTCTAAGTGAACACGGAAAAAACTTTGACAGTGACTATATTATAAACGCAAGTGTGCAGGTTTTTTACGCTCAGTTAGTATTTCTTTTCATGACTGCTATAGCTTTTCATTCGCGATGAAATTTGTTTTTGTTTTGGTACTTACAAATGTACGAATTGTAAGATATAGAATTCAATCGATTATTTTTTGTAATTGATTTTTTCTTTTAGTATTATTTTTTTTACTTCGTTATAGTATTTTTTTAATTTACATTATTTTAGCGTCGTTATAACAATCACAAGGATCTCGCTTTTATTATTTTTACAAATAAACGGTTTGTAAGCGATTATTTATCTAATTTTCAAAAGTGAAAAATGATAGTTTTTCATATCTCTTCATAACTTTCAGCAGATGTTTTGTTATTTCTTTCTATGAAAATATAAATAACTGTGATTGATAGACAAATAACACAAATGTATTTTTTCGAACAATTCAGTTTGATTACTCAACATGATAAGTCACGTCTATAGTGTCATTCAATACGCATAATTGATAGTTTGCTTTAAATCACTCTGCCCAGAAATACATTCTGGTTTGTACAGAATTCTTAACGAATTTCATAACATAATAAAATAATTATTGTTACTGTGAAATACATAACTTTCATCAATACTTCAAGTGATAATAACTTAAAGATCCGAAAGTGTAAATTGTCCCATAATACAACACTCAATAACATAAGTTAATGAGCTAAGAAACTAATTAGCATAAATGATTTTTAATGCCCATAATTTCAACGTTAAAGAGAACTCAAGACTCAATTGTAAATAAGTAAATAGACGTTAAATTAGCGTAATGAAATCTTTGATGTGTGCACAAAAGTCATTAACAAATGCAATTTTTAATATCCAATTTTGAAATATATGGTATTATCTTTTATAAATATCATTACCCCTGTAATAATTACGAATAATAGTTGTACCAAACTAAACAGAGAAATGGTGCAAGAAATATATATTATATCGAATTATGCATTTATGACTTGGCATTATGATGAAAAATATCGGAAATTTATTTGATTGCATAACATATTGCCATATGAGTTCCTTATATTGTAAAAATATTGGAAAAAACTGTTTTTTTAATGTGTACAAATAACACGATTAATCAATGTAACGAAATAAATGTAATTTAAGTACAGCTTCTTTTAATACAAACTCCACAGTTGAATTCGCATCACTTACATTTTGGTAACAAAAAAAACCTTGATAATCCAAACATTCCTGAGCTCTTCTCGCATTCTCAATCCATGCTCGCAGCCGAAATTCTTTGAAAAAATAAAAGCACTGTGGAACGCTTGCAAACGCCCTGCTTTACCTGGTCGTTCACTCTCACTAAGCGCAATCGCATTAATACACGAAATGGGTTTGAGTTCGAAACGTATATGTGCAAAGTTCATTGAGCATTCTCAGGGCGTCGCTGTTAAGATGATTCGTCATCCCTTTGATACCACTCGCGCCTTGCTGAAGTGTGTAAAAAAACCACGATGCGTCTCTTCTCTATTGCTTCCAAGCGGATGTACAATCGACATTCCTCTTTCTTTTCTCTCAAACTTTTAAAAGCTCCCGTATTTTCATGGTTGAGATGTGCAATGAAGGCTGAAAATTGTTAATTGTCGTTATGTAGTATAATTGAGAAATAAGTGATTGCTCCATGGGGAAAAGTATGAATAGTATTTTCATACCGCTGTTTTTTAACGCAAAGTAAAGAAACGTCCAAGAATTAACATGACAAAGGACCCAGCTGTGCTGCACATTCTTTGAATTCCCGCAAAAATCTGCTGGACACATATAAGTTTGAGAGTTGCATTTCAAAGGATTTTTCGACGACTTTGAAGTGTAAAAAGAAAAGCACATTTTCCTCAAGCGTGACTTTCAATTCCACCTGCGCACCGTAGTCATATATGCGACTCACTTCTATTTTGTGACAAAGCTTCGAGTTATTTTTCACTCCGTTAAGGTCTTCACTTTGATGTCTTCTCACTTTGCACACTCAGGAAAAGTTCAATCTTTGTGAACCTTTAATCCGCTTTCCCGCGTAGCGAGGAACATGAGCTCTCCCCTCGATCGAAAGAACCCGTTTCATTGTTTGATTTCGGGCATTTGCGTTTCAATTGAAACGTGAGTGATTTAAAATAGCAGCTGCGCGGCGACTACTCGAACGGAGAAGACGAAACAATGCTTTTACCTCCGGACAGAAAATCTGTGCGTCTGTTCACCCGAAAATCGAAAGTTGATGAACACGCAGTGGCTCTTATTGGCGATGTCTATGGGCTTTCAGACCATTCGCCAGGCCATTCGTGCATAACATGCGTCACACGGGCCGTTTCTTTTCCTCTAACTGGCAGCTTTGTCACGACGTTGGAGTCGCGTCGCGACGAAAAATGAAACGAACGAATGCGATTCGTAAGAACGACAGGTCGTCCCGAGGGAAGCTCGGAATATTTCTGTAAAGCAAAAGCTCGCGCGCTCCGAAAACATCGTCCGAGCACGCGTCCGACGAGTCGCGCGAGCCACTGCGCGATAAAGGATCGCCTCGCGGTTGGCCGTCGCTCGAATCAAGCGCATCTACCCCGCGGAAACGCCAACGCGTTCGTCCGCGGGAAAACTGGGGGAGGACGATCGCGGCCGCGCGCTTGCGGCACTTACAAAAGATCGTCATCAGCTGCTGCTCTCTCGCGGGCCTTACTTAGCCGCACGCGCGCTCGCGCCCGCGCACACACGCTCGCGAGTGAAAGTCAACACACAGGAATAATCCAACACACGCAGCGATACTCAAAGTAAAGGAGGAGAGATAGGACAAGAGGTGGAAGGGGCCTGGTGTCCGCGTGTCCGCCGCGAGTGAGAGGGACCCTGTGCTCCCGGCTGGTGTTGCGCGCCGTAGCCTGGAGAACGCCGTCTCTCGCGAAAGACAGTCAGTCGTTCTTGCGTGCATCGGGAGAAAGGAGATAGCTTTGTGCTACTCGCGCGACCCGCGCAGCAGTGTTCCGCCGTGACTCGCCGACGAGATCCAAGTCGTGCTGCCTCGCTTTCGATTCCCGCCGCAGAGGATGAGCAAGCGTTGACGACCGATCGCGAGACCGCTGGTGAGTTCGATTTATCGTTATTACTGTTATTTGCCTCCCGTTCCGATTTGCCGCGAGCGAGGAATTCGCGATTGTGCACGTGAAAAACCGACGCGCAGGTGACACGGAGTACCCTCCTCGACGCGTACGCCTGCGTTGGTCTGCTTCTTTTAAGGTGCACATACGTGTAGGTGAGGCGCGAACGAGGACGTCGATCGGGTTTCACCGTTACGGGCCCCTTGCGACATGCCGAGCACGTCGCGAGCTTCTCGATATTTTTTTTTTTTTTTTTTTTTTTCGTTCTTTTTTTCTCTTCCTCGTCGCGTCTGAGCGCCTGCGCGAATAAAATCGTCCGGGATCGCAGCGGGAAAGGCATATGTTCGATCTAGCGAGCATACGCCTCGACGAAGAGAAGAGAGTTTCACCGCTGAGGCCGCGAATCGTACGACGACATCGATATCGCGAGAGCGGAGAGAGAAAGACGTAAGGCGCTGCAGGCTCTGCGGAGTTGCGGCGCGCGTGCGAGAAGTGAAAGCGTGAAACTCCAACTCGATCCTTGCGCCAGCTCCACCAAGACTTCAACGTAGACACTGAAAGTCGAGCGTTAAGACGGAGAGAAATATTCACGTAAGACCATTTTTTCAATCGACAATAAGTGTGGCTCGATGATTTGTTGTCGAAAAGAGAAGTGCGAGTGATCCACAGACGAACGGGTCGGTATTTTCGTCGCGTGAAAGTTAACGCAAGATCATTGGAAGTAGGCAATCAGGATAGACGGATAGTAGGTTTTTAGATTTCGAGCGAAAGCAGAATTTATATCCGTCGTGGTCGCCGCGGCAAATTGACCGATAGCTCGCTCGAGAAGTATATTTTAAAAAATTAACGCAACGGCAAGCTCCGTTATTAACAGTTGCCGTACCTCTCGGCCGTATCGCATTGCCAATCTGCTTCTCCGTCGCGCCGAAAAAGGCCCCTCGATTCACTCTCGCGCCGTATATCCGTCAAATTCAATTATAGCGGAAGGACCGACAAAGAGAAAACGAAGAAGAAGAGGAGACGAGGAAGCAGGCCAGACGCGTGCGCGCGCTTCTGGCGCGTAACGCGCGATTAAATTACGAAAGAAAGTGACGCGCTTGTGCGCGGTCATCGAGGGAACTTCGCTTCCCCTTTTTTTCCCGTTCGAATGATTTTGCAGCTTCGATGCTTTTCGGACGCGATTTCGCCTCGAAGGCGCGTCATTGCCTATTACTCCGCATTGGGTGCCTTAACGCAATTTGATGAAAGGGAATTTCGTAATGGATGCTATATGTAGCGTTGCGCTTTATTTACTTATTTATTTGCTTATTCCTTTTTATCTTTTTATGGTGTCAAGAAGTCCAGTACGTTTGGATTAGCGCATGGCGCTCGGTCCATGGATTTTCTTTCATTGGAATCATGAGATTGGTCAGTTAATTTGTTATCGTGTCTTGCGATATTCCTTTGAATCCGTCTTCGGCTATTTGGCACGAGCGGGGGATTCTTACATAACTGACGGTTTTATAAAATAGTTCTTATAGAATTACAAACTAGCCGAATGGAAAAGTCTAAAATTCAAAACTCTATCTATCGAATAAAATCTCGTTGATATTTTGAAAATCCAATCAATCCTCACAGCGACACCGCACTAAATTCTCGAACGACTCTATTGACACGAATCGTCATGTCACCTACACGGAAAACATCGAGCAAACTTCTATACTTGTTGCTCTTTGAAAAAAAAATGCGCATTCCCGAAGTCCATTTACAGGTCCAATTAACGACAAAAGCTCCGCAGCAACAATCTTAGCGCGCGCTCCCACGACCGACTTACGGAAGTCAGCCTGCAGTGTCTCTCGCGAAAACGATCGGCGCGAATTGTTACTCAACAACAGCGCGGCAGCCGCCGAAGGTTACCCCTTTAATCATAAGAATTTGCAGTAGCGGCGTTGCGCAAAACGCGCGCCAAGAGGACGACACATCCTTTCAGCGTGACGCGAGGATTCAAGGAGATGAGGATACCCTCTCTCTTTCTCTCTGTTCGCGCGCGACGCCGAGACATATTTCTTTATCTCTCCGATGAACGATCGATCTCTTTTTTTTCGCGTGATTCATGGCGTGATTTCCGTGGATATGCGGAAAGTTCTCTTTGCGCAAGTCCCGGTTGTTGAAGTCGTTGGGACATATTGCGAAATGATTTGTTTTACGCGCCTGAATCGTTTATCGCGTGATTCATCGCGCGACATTCGCCAACTTCATCCCCCCGAGAAAATACCAAAACGTTGAACACGTGATTCATTCTCGAATAACTCGCAGCGAGAATGTAATTATCGAGTTCAAAAATATCTCCTTTTCTTTTTTTCTCTTTACATCTCTCGACATGATTTATCAGCGTGATAGGCTCATTCGAATTTCAAATCTGCTCTCTCCTTTCCACAATTTTTGCAAACGGCTCAAACTTGCACAATGTATTTGTCGTCGCGAATCCCCTCACCTCCAAATCGTCCGCGCTCGCGTTCTCTCTCCGACAAGACAATCGCAAATTAAAGTCGCCGTTTAATAAATGCAACCGTGCTTGAAAATTATGATAATTATCCCTCTCTGAGCAAACACATAAATTCGAAGCTACACACTGCGCATCATCTTCTTGCATGGCGCAACACACCTACCGCTAATAGCGAACCCTCTTCGCAAAACAATAAAGCCATCAAGTTATAGACCTCTCGATCGTTCTGGCAATAATTAGGAAAAAAAAAGAGGCGTACAGGTACGATGCTCCCACGCGCGCAAAATCCCCGAACGCCCGTATTTTTTTTTTTTTTCTTTTTTTCTTCCAAAGAACGGCGCACGTGCGCGCAATTCCCGATGGTTTTGTCACTTGGGAAACTCGGTGCTTTTTTCACCGCGTGGGAATGCCTAGGGAAGGGAAAAACCGCTTTT